TGTCTGCGATTCTTTGTTTTTCTTAAGTTCTCGTTTTTTGTCTCGTATCGTTTTCACTTGAAAGTGAAAGGTTGGGCGGAGGTTTCAACTCCAGTACGGGATGAGTTAAGAGTGAGTTGGTTTCTTCAAGCTGAGAGCTGTTGTCATATTAAATATTAGAAGAGTACGCCGGGGAGGAGTGTGTAATGTTCTATACGTGAAATTAACTTTCAGTAGTTACCCATCTATGTTTGCGAGGGAGGAAATGAGAGGGGGAAGGGTAAGTGGTGTTCCAGGTCTTGAGTTAGCTATACTTCTTTCTTCTTCACCTTGATCAAGGATAACGACAATGCAAGATTTACTCACTACTCTATTGATTGGACCTGTAAATTCAGCAGAGCCTTTGAAAACCAGATTGATACCAGTCTTGTTTTCTTATGCATTAGACCAAACTGTGTTTCAGACATAAAAGCTGCTTTGTCACATGACATGCAGTAATCTGCAATTTTACTAGATGTGTATCTTTCATAAGGATAACGACCATAATTCAATACTTGGCTCCTTGTCCTTTGGAACAGATTCACCCAACATAACATTATTGGAATATATTAATGCTAACTGACCAAATGAAAGCTCTGGCCTACAGGTGATTTTAGCTTCACTTTGTTCTATTTGCTTATTTTTTTTTAAGTTTACACATAAATTAAGATCAATAAAGATATTGATCGAGCCACATTATCAAATGGTCTAACGTTATACTAAAGATATTAAATCATAAAATAATGTTACTCTCGCCCCCTCTAAAGCCTTAAGTGTAAAAATACTGCATAATTACGAGCACTTGTCTTTAAACCTGAAGAACCAGTAAGTGTAGATTTTTTTCTTTGAGATAGTGTAGTGGGCAGTGCCACTCATCCTTCGAGTGAAAACACTGCCATAAACATATTAAATATCAGCCCCAATAATTGACAGGCTAATAGCTAGATCAGCTCTCTCTCTCCTGGGTCGTTCCAATATACAGGTATTATTCTCTTTACAATTATACTTACCTTCAAATATTGCTACCTTTTATAATTATCCTTATCTTAATTGAACGAATGTCTGCTATTTTTGCAAACTGCTGAGAACCAAAATTTAAAGAAAAAAAAGAGAAGGGCTCGTGACCCGTGGTTGTTGGGCGGGGTCGCCCATCGCCTCCGAGACAACCACATGGTTTATCACGGTAATGACTACCTCGACGGCCAAGCTATCGTGTAAATGACAGTTTTGAAGCCGTAAGTCTGACTCAAATGGAGGAGTCAATAAAATAAATGTGTGGCGGAATATTATCATGTAAGTTAGACACGCCTAATTGCCGTTGATGAAGCGTAATGATGAATCTCGCTTGGAGGCAATTCTAATGTGTGTTTTTTTTTATAATTAAAATGCGCTAAAGTTATCAGACCTGAAGCATCTGGTTAAATTGGCTTGTCGACGCCGTTACCTCGAGTTTTTCTACCTATACACATATTCTCGATATATTCAGCTAAATTAAAATTTCTAAATATACAGCGGGAGTTTCTCTCTTTTTACAATGAATAAAGACGTAACACTGACATGTGGTAGGCACTTAACACAACGAAATCTTTATTGGTACAACGTTTCACCCACGAGTGGGGTTTATTATGATTTGATAAAGCCCACTCGTGGGTGAAACGTTGCAAAATAAAGACCACTGAATTTTCTGTATACTCTTAACTCTTTTTGATGATTAACCGTTATTCCTGCAGTTCATCATTGTACCAAAGATTTACATTATTGATAAGTTGAAGAATAAACATGTACAACACCTGAGAATCTTTACCAGAGAAGCCCTTAGCTTGCGCAACAGACTTATCAGTCTTACACAGGAACATGAGAATGGAGACTTCTGTTATGGAGCCAGAGGCGCAGCAGCTAATGGACATCACATGTGGGGAGGGCCAACTAGTAGGTCGAGTCCAAGAGGTTGACCAAGGTTAGCAATAGAGATGTAGAGGATATCCTCTGTACCAAGACTTTATAGTGGTGGTGTCAGAAACGTATCTTTTCATCAAAGGCATACAATATCAACTAGATGATAAACAAGACACATGCTGAACTTCTGGGTATCTTAAGGCTATCTATTATTAAGTTGTACGTCTGTATAAATTCTCTCTCTCTCTCTCTCTCTCTCTCTCTCTCTCTCTCTCTCTTTCTCTCTCTCTCTCTTCTCTCTATCTCTCTCTCTCTCTCTTTCTCTCTCTCTTCTCTCTCTCTTTTTCTTACAAGGGTTTGACAAGGTTAAAGATCCTAACTTTATTGACAGCTATTTACAGTTAAGGATTCCTAACTTTATTGGCAAGCAAGAGCTGTTACCTACATCAGCTCATTTGAAACCTTTTTATTGTTATGAGACATACAAGTAGGGAACAGGATGAAGTTGGCCATCTGTGGCCAGCATTTTCATTGATCAACTGACGTTACTCGTTGACATCATTATGCTGTACGAATGGTTCCATACTCGAGTCATCCTGGTACATAGATCTCAGATGGGTGATGTTCTGGAGAAGGGTACAGCCAGAGTGAAGTTGCTGCTTTCTGCCCGTCTTGTGGCATAAAAGCTTGTTTCACGCTGTCCTCGAAGTGGATCCAAGTGTGGTATTTTGACAATATTGGCCTTGTACATAACAGTAAGGCCACCCACATCCCTCCTATGTTGAAGGCTCTGCTGAAATGACAGATCTATCCAGGATGGGTCCAGGCGAGAGATGAGACGTCTTGCTCTGTTCTCTACTCTGTCAAGCAGTCTGTCATGCAGGGTTAGGTTATGAATTCCTAACTTTATCTATAAGCTAAGAGTTGTTACCTACCTCAGCTCATTTGAAAACCCTTTTCCTGTTAAGAGACATGCGAATAGAGAGTAGGATGAAGTTGGAGCCATCTGTGGCCCTGCGACTTCATTTGGTCATCTGCCTTAATTTCATCGATGTCATTATGTTGCGCAAACTTGTTCCAGCCTCGGGCCATTGTAAGAATGAATCATCTCAGATGAAGTTATGTTCGTGAGAGGGATACAGCCAGCGTGTAGTTGCTGTTGCTGCAGATCTTGTACATAACACTAAGGCCACCCACATCCCTCCAGTGTTGAAGGCTCTGTTGATATGACAGATCTGTCCAGTCCGGGTCCAGGAAAAAGATATGTCATCGTGCTCTATTCTCTACTTTCTATTCTGTCAAGAAGTCGTAGATGAGACGGGGGCGGGCAACCCCAGAAAGAAGAGCATACTCAAGTTGTGACCGCACTTGTGCCTCGTACAGAGGTTTCATCTTCTGTCAAGCAGATGCGAGATACGTCTAAGTGCTGTAAGCTTCCTGGCCACCTTGCTTGCCAGATTTGCTACATGGCTCACTCTCTCTCTCTCTCTCTCTCTCTCTCTCTCTCTCTCTCTCTCTCTCTCTCTCTCTCTGATTTTTCCGATATATTTTCATGATAATTATGACTGTAATGTCCATGATACATATCAATGAGCAGTTTACATAATTGTGTAGTGGGTGTCAGTAGACTAGTTTTATGCCTCTGTTATCTCTGAAACCAGTCAAACGTATTTGATGCAAAGTAGTATGATTAGCAGTCAAAAGAAATTCTACACGAGCATAGTTTGGAAGGTTTACCTTAAAGGCGATTGTGGAGTTTGCATAATTGCGTGGTGTGTAAGAAAACAAGTTCTGACTAACAGAATGGAATATTCGCTACAAGAAATCTGGAAAAAGGTTCACTTTCAGATAATTTCTTTGCCAACTTGCAAGTCCCAACCGCCATTGCTAGCTGCAGGAAATGTTAAGGTTCCTCTCATGGAGATGGTCTCGATGCCAGTAAAGAGCTCTTGTTCCATGGAATTGGAGATTTCCTCCTCATCCTTGGGTCAAACCTAATAACTTCCCATATTTCAAGCGCTACAAGACCTTTTGATGGTTTAGTACTTCCTCGTGATTATAATTACGTTAATTAAAGCTACCGCGAGAAGCAATCAGACAAATGCATCTATCCTCCATAAATTACTAGAAATGGGAGAGCCGATAAGACCGGAGATGTGCTTTCCAGCCAGCACAGCCTCTCGCCAGCCTTCGTCAGCTGTGCCTGGCATAGGGCAAATAGCCCTGTTTGAGAAAGAATTTAAATATAGTTTCAGTTTACTAGAAAGAAAGGTCAAGTAGTAGCTAACATTTACAATACACTGTCCAGCATTAGTAAAATTCTAAGGAAAATAATCTCTCAACAAATATGAGCATTAAATTACTACCGCTCGCTACTGTGGCTGTCAAATTGGTTACAGAAAAAAGCCGATCTGGGAGACGAAACAATGAATGAATCACTAGTAAGTTGTGCAGTTGCAGTGGACAGTTAGCTACATCACAGTGATCAACTGCAAAGTTGCAAATGCAAGGAACTTATATTTGCAAGGACCCAACTCTTCCTAGAAGGGACATCACCAGAGCCGAACTTCAACATTGCAGAGAAGTTGTTCACCCTGCTGTTACATGCAAGAGTATGAAGCCAGGGTTCGTAATGTTCCTCACTTGCCCAAATTTCTTGGATAGCTAGTCTCCAGAGAAGGTGCCTGGGCTCTTGATTAAAAAAATTGGAGCTTTCTTGCCTCTCCTCTAATCAAACCTGTTATTCCTCAGGAGCTGTGTAACATTTATGGGTTTAGTGTTTGTGAAGGAAAAGTCATGGTTATGGTTGTTCAGACACCTTGGAACCATTAGCATGTCACCGCCAGCACTCCCATCTAGCGGGTCGTAGCTGAACTTCAGTTTCATCGGGTCTGATTTGCTTCAATTTCTACTCCTGGTAGTATTAACCTTACCTGGTGTGGGTTAAAGTTTGGAGAATCACTTCACCTCCACTCTCTCTCATCAGGTAAGGTGATCTACCAGGAGTATTTCTATTCTTTGTTACTGATTTACCTGGTTACTTATTAACCCCTTGTGTAACCAGTGTTGATTTTCATTATTAACAGCTCTGCTGCTAGCCTGGTCAACCAGGGTACACGCCGCTAGTTAGTGGAGCCAAATCCCTGTCAACGGGACATATTGGGACATAACTCCTCATCTCTTTGATATCTGATGTGTGGTACAGCGACAAAGTATTGACAGGATTCCCAGAACATCGGACGAACACCACCATCCAGAATAACCAACACCATTTCTTCTAAAACATCACAGAAGACTATCCCGGGCATAAGATACTCCTGTCTCAACATCATACTGGAACCACAGAGGCCAGTTTTATTTTACTTAATTAAAATCCTTAGAAAATTATCTTAGGTATTATTCCTCAAGTTATTCATTATTTTCCAATCTTTTGTTCAAGCGGAAGGCGTTCCCCTGACATACAAACACAGGCAAACTATCAGAGATAAGATATGATGCGTAAAGGGATATTAGGTGAACACTAAAGTTCTCGATGCAACTAACCAGTCCTCATTGCCACTAAGGTACCCATCACCACATTCCTGGCATTCGTTTTGTTTAGTTGTACTCTGCCGTGTTATTATGCTACACTTTTTGCCTTGCTGGGCTTACCAATTGACCTTCGAGGTTCGACACTAACGAGGTCACGGCCCACGTAATTAAGGTGGTCTGAAGGCAGTATTTGACCTGTATCGTCTGGCACACCGGTATCCTAAGTCGTGGGAAATGTTCAGTTCACTTTGAAGGTAAAGTTTGATTGCTAGGTGAACGCAGGTAAGTAGCACGTTCTCTCACACTAAGCGGACACGATGGAACATCCATCACTCCTTGTGTTGTACGACTCGCACTGTTATAGCTCTAGCATAAACGTAAAAGATTTAAGATTTATATTATTTTAGTTTATTATCCTTTCAACTGTGTCATTTTACACTATACTATTTGGCGAGTTATTTTCGACATGCAGTGAGATATAAATTTGTTGTGAGAGGATTACATTTTTCTTGCGTATAATTTTTGTTGAAAGGAATAAATATTTTATTTGCGTAACTAAAAAATAACAGAATTGCGTAACTTGCATGACCTAATAATAGCTATATTTAATTGATGAATAATTTAAAAATAAAAATATCTGCTTACTATATAAAACGATCTTTGCCAAACAGACCAAGTACTCGACCTTTGTAAAATCCAGCTAGAAGAATAGGATAGTATAATATAAAGCAACTGAAGATCTTAATTATCGGTTCTCAAAATTAATGTTGGGGAATGTGAGAGGGTGAAAAAATTATCTGAGAAAGAAAATATTTCCAGAAGAAAAGAAATCCATAACTTTTCTCCTAGAAAAAGAAAATAAGAATGAACTTGAAAGATTTACAAACGCACAAAGAGGAAGGGCAGGGTGGAACTTGTGCATTAAAATATCAGAGAATCTTATACAGAATGACTCTTCAAGAGGGGGCGAGAGGCGCCTTAATGGTCAATTGATCTTGAATCTAATCTGATTACTTTCTATTCTCCAGGTTCAGTGTCATCCCTACGAGTTTTACTTTCCCTTAATACAATTAGACATAAATAACCCGCACACAGGAGAGAGAAACTTTCGACGACGTTTCGTTCTGACAGCGACCGACTTGACTTTGTAAATGGTCCGGGTCAGAACATAAACATCCAACAAGCAAATTGGCTGTCACACACGTCTGGCAGAGCAGTCTTTCAACAGTAGTATGCAGAGTTCACATCTGCCACGTCAGAGATCACAGTCATCCTATTGACTGGTCTCCTGCTAAAACTGTCTTCCCTACTTCCAACTTTAACAGTCGCCGTCTGGTTGAATCCTACCTAATACACGACTTTCCTTGTATGAATCTTAGTCCTGGCTTCGTCTCTGTAGATGCCTTCCTCTCCCACTACATTGTAAAATGCTCCAAATTTCAGAACACTCGTGACCTAACCTGATTCCTCCTTTTTTCTTCTCCCTCTTCCCCTTTCCTGTTTCCTTTTTCTCCTTTGGGTTGTCTTTCTTCTGCCCTGTGTATTTGTTCCTTTATTTGTTTCCCCCCTCCTCGGTGTTCTTGCTCTTACCCTCTGTGGGCACCAGCTCCCTTGCAGTGCTCCTCTTTCTTAGTATTTGGCTGGCCCCTCTTACTCTTACTACCTCCCCACTACTACTTCCTTCCCTCCACTACTACCACCACTACTACTACTACTACTACCACTACTACCCCCCCCCCCTCAAGGAAGGTTCCTTGATGTTGGTGAGGGGCTCTTGATTTAGGAAATTGGATCTGTGCTCCAGTTCCCCGAATTAAGCCTGAATGCCTTCCACATCCCCCCCCCCAGGCGCTGTATAATCCTCCGGGTTTAGCGCTTCCCCTTGATTATTATAATAATAATAATACCACCACCTCCTGCCTATATATACCCATCCTCCTCTCCTTTTCATTAGTGTGACTTTGTAAATGGTCCAAGTCGGACCGAAACGTCGTCGTAAGCTCCTCTCCTCTATATGCGCTGTATAGTCCTTGTGGCTTAGCGCTTCTTTTTGATTATAATAATAATAATCCTCTATATGCGGGTTATTTGTGTATTGTGTACACGCGCTAGCTCGTGGCGTAAGAATGGGTTGCGTTGAGATTCCAGTGGAAGATGTGAACAAAAAATATAGACAAGTTATTTGTAGTCTACAAAAAAGACTTGTCATTATTTAGCATTTTTTATACACGCACTAAATAATTTGATACATAACTCCAGGTACAATTTCTTTAATAACATTAATTTTGGATTTTTTTTTTTTATAGAGGTTGAGGTGGTAGTTGTGGTAGTCTGTGTAATTGTGGAAGTGAATTACTGAAGTAGGAATAACAATTTAAGAGTTTTTATAGTAGTGATAGCTCTTAACTTTGAAGTACAGTATATTTTAGGAGATGAGGCATAGCGTGTGTGTACACACGCCTAGTTGTACGCGCGTAGTTGTGATTGTAGGACTTAAGTTATAGCTCCTGACGTCTCTTCGCTGATCGCTATTAGGTTTCCTCTCTCCCTTCCCAATGAGCTTTATCGAACCTCTTCTTTAAGCTATGATGGAACCTGCCTCAAATACATTAATCTCTAGATTGTTTTACTTCTTGACAACTCTGTGACTGAAGAAATACTGTGTGTGTACTCACCTAATTGTACCCACCTAATTGTGGTTGCAGGGGTCGAGACTCGGCTCCTGGCCCCGCCTCTTCACTGATCGCTACTGGGTCTTCTCTCTCTCTCTCTCTCTCCTCTCTCTCTCTCTCTCTCTCTCTCTCTGTCTCCTCTCTCTCTCTCTCTCTCTGCTTCCTGAGCTTTGTCATACCTCTTCTTAAAACTATGTATGGTCCCTGCCTCCACTACTTCATTTGCTAGGCTATTCCACTTGCTGACAACTCTATGACTGAAGAAATACTTCCTAACGTCCTGTGACTCGTCTGAGTCTTCAGCTTCCAGTTGTGACCCCTTGTCCCTGTGTCCCCTCTCTGGAACATCCTATCTCTGTCCACCTTGTCTATTCCCCGCAGTATCTTGTATGTCGTTATCATGTCTCCCCTGACCCTTCTGTCCTCCAGTGTCGTCAGTCCGATTTCCCTTAACCTTTCCTCGTACGTCATTCCCTTGAGCTCTGGGACTAGCCTTGTTGCAAACCTTTGCACTTTCTCTAACTTCTTGACGTGCTTGACCAGGTGTGGGTTCCAGACTGGTGCTGCATACTCCAGTATGGGCCTAACATACAGTGTACAGTGTCTTGAACGATTCCTTATTTAGGTATCGGAACGCTATTCTCAGGTTTGCCAGGCGCCCGTATGCTGCTGCAGTTATTTGGTTGATGTGTGCCTCCGGTGATGTGCTCGGTGTTATGGTCACCCCAAGGTCTTTCTCCCTGAGTGAGGTCTGTAGTCTTTGTCCACCTAGCCTATACTCTGTCTGCGGTCTTCTTTACCCCTCCCCAATCTTCATGACTTTGCATTTGGCTGGATTGAATTCGAGAAGCCAGTTACTGGACCACATGTCCAGCCTGTCCAGGTCTCTCTGCAGTCCTGCCTCATCCTCATCCGATTTAATTCTTCTCATCAACTTCACATCTGCGAACAGGGACACTTCAGAGTCTATTCCTTCCATCATGTCGTTCACATATATCAAAAATAGCACTGGTCCTAGAACTGACCCCTGTGGGACCCCGCTCGTAACAGGCGCCCACTGTGATACCTCTTCACGTACCATGACTCGTTGCTGCCTCCCTGTCAGGTATTCCCTTATCCATTGCAATGCCCTCCCTTTTGAATGCGCCTGATCCTCCAGCTTCTGCACTAATCTCTTGTGGGGAACTGTGTCAATGGCCTTCCTGCAGTCTAGGAAAACGCAATCTACCCACCCCTCTCTCTCGTGTCTTTCTTCTGTTACCTTGTCATAAAACTCCAGGAGTGTGTGTGTGTGTGTGTGTGTGTGTGTGTGTGTGTGCGTGTGCGCGCGTGTGAGAGCTTTATCATACCTCTCAAACATTTCAAACTGTTCCACTTCCTGATAACTCTACGACTGAAGAAATACTTCCTAACATCCCTGTGACTCATCTGAGTCTTCAACTTCCAATTGTGACTCCTTGTTGCTGTATTCCATCTCTGGAACATCCTGTCTGTCCACTTTGTCAATTCCTCTCAGTATTTTATGTCGTTTTCATGTCCCCCCCTCCTCCCTTCTATCCTCCATTGTCAGATCGATTTCCCTTAACCTCTCCTCGTGTGTGTGTGTGTGTGTGTGTGTGTGTGTGTGTGTGTGTGTGTGTGTGTGTGTAGGGAGAATATTTATTGAAGGTGGTGTATTCAGTGAGAGCATTATTTTTAGTAAAAGGTGTAATCAATGAGACGTATTTCTATTTAGTGTGGGGATACTTAATTAAGTAGATATATGCAATGATGAAGATATTTAGGAACGAGCTGGCAATAGACTGACTGCTGAATATGCTCAAGCTGGATGTGTGGGCTGGAGGACACTAACATGTGTACTAGTGCTTAAGTAATAATTAATGAAATTAAGGTCGTAACCACTACAGTGTGTAGGCCTTTAGTAGGTTCTAGATATTTTCTTCATTATTTGATAGTATTGGCGAGTCTGTATTTATTAATAACTGTGGTAACTCCGAGTTGACTCCTTATTCTCTTTTATAATTGAAAAATTGGATTTTTTCCGGGAACTTTTTGAGAGTATTTAGTTAGCTAGAGGTAGCACATAAGCAGCTTTTTGCGTAAAAAAAATATTTCAACGTAGTAATTAGCTCTAATTTTTGCGAGTGGAGAAGAGAATCTCAGCAAAGTGAGCTAGTGCAATTATTAGACTGATATTTTTCAATCAACATATTTTAAAATGAACTTGAGAGTCCAGTGTTTCTTTAACGATGAGCCACGAGATGCCATAAACTGCCACTATCAGTTCACATTACAATTATTTCTTACTGCATGGTTGGCTAAGTTTCCGCCAGTAGATTTCTCAGTCAATCTCTAGCTCTAATTTGAGGTAGCTACACTGCACATCGCTTTGTGTAAGCCTATAATTATCCTTTAGA